ATTTGAATATTTTTTTTTACTTAAAAAAAAAAATAAAAATAAAAATAAAATTGCACATTTTTTGCGAGGTTAAAGTTATTTTTGTTTCCATATGTACATATATGGATTATACTGATTGTTGTTAATGAAGACGGAGTTTTTTTTTTTTACATGTGGATCCGGCAAGGAATTTATAATATCACAACAGAATTTTGAATTGGCAGGTGCATCGCTAGGCATGGCAGCAACTTTGTTAGATGATGAAGGACACACATACATTCATAACAAACCAAGTAGAACATGTAACATTGAAATATATAGTAGATTAGCTGCGTGCCAACTTCCACGCAAGCGGATCTGCGGGTATAGGCCTACATAGTATCGTAATAAAAAAAATAGTTTTAAATGTTATACCTAGCCTTTTGAAAAAAGAATGAAAGAGCGAAATCTCTAAAACATACTTGAAAGCAGTATAAATAAATATATATCTTCCTAGTTTTGTTCATTCAAAACGTAGTAAACGTCAGTATATATGATAAGAGACAAGTATTGCGGTTCGTATGTTTACCTTTTCCATTAACTCGCGCACTATTCCGTTCCAAACTTTTGTGTCAGGGTTGAATACTCCATACATATTGTCAGGTACTAATTCAATCTTATATTGAAATCCCACTTGAGTGGCAATGGCTTTTAGTAGATCAATACAAAACCCTTCAAAGCGATCATTTCCTGTTTGACTTATGCCACTTTTCACCATAACGTAAGGTTTTTCTTGCCGTGTCATAACAATTAAGGTTGTATTACTTGAATAAGTGTCATAGAAAGCGGTCGAATCGGTAATGTTAACACCGAGTTCAGGCTTCCAAAAACCAACTTTTTGAATTTTTTCTCGCTTTAGTTTAAGCAAATCGATTTGAAATAAATTTCGACGTCCCTCAGTGAAGTGTACACGGCCTGTCAATCCATTCATAGAAGCCTGCAATATAATGTTATATATCAGGTCATGGAACTTTAAAGTGATTTACCGAATTAATATAGTTATATAGCGACAGTCCATCTCTCCATGGTAATTCGTTTTTACAGGAAATATTATGCCAACTCAATAAATCCTTTCTATCTAGTTCCATAAGACCAGCGGCCACGGAGTACACCGAATCGAACATTAAAGCTGATTGTGCCTTTAGCAAATCATATAAATATAGAAAAAAATATTTCAAAATATATGTGCGTTAAATGCTTAAACAAAGATGTGAATTAAAGAATTGGACAAATTATGCATCCAGTATAATCATCATAATGTAAATTTATCAAACCTTAATAATCATTATTGCGCAGAATATATGAATGAATAAACAAGAGGTTATAGAAAAAATATGCAAAATTCACTTAGCTTTTTTTACAATAATTAGTGTCCAAAATATAACTATATAATAACTAGTAATATTTAGTTTAGTAAACATATCGTAAATTTTTTACCGTTTGGCTTTGCCAGGATCGCTCTTTAGGATMAAAAAAAAAAAAACCTCGCAAGTGTAACGACCTTATTTTAATTAAATGAAGTCTATTAAATGAAAGCGTACTACTTTTGCATCAAATTGAATGTTTTATTTAGCATAATTAAAATAATCCGATTTAGATCGTTTTGTTTGATGATTTCTTGCCATTTTGAAAGTAATTTCTTAATATCACTCTCAAATAAACCATCCTTCATATCTTCAGAAATGGATTGATTTTGTTGCGATTCAGCAAGGATTCGCAGATGGAAATTAGGCCGTAAGGTTAATTTATGATAACTCGCGGGACTGTTGTAAACGAAACCAATCTATTGGAAAATGGGGTTTTTCTAAGGTCTTTACTTTGAAATCGTATCGAACTGCAATTTCGAGAACAATAGAGAGTATCGCGAATAAGGACGTTCAGTTCGCACGTTCAGTTTTTTCAGTACGCACGTCCTTATTCGCGATACTCTCTGTTGTTCTCGAAATTGCAATTGGTTTTTGTGTTGCGTGAATTTCAACGTATAATATTGTACTAATAAAACAACTACGACAGAATTGAAAATCAGATAGGAATGAGATAATATGATATGTATTAAGGGGTTATATCCACTTGTGATTTTCAGAAAATCGATCTTTGTTTTTTCATTTTTTGAATGTACATATATTCAAGAATATTCTCTGAAAATTTCAAGTTGATCCGACTAATAGTTTCGGAGATACAACCTTGAAAAGGTGGACGCTCGAGGTCAGGTATAGGCTGAGGGCGCAGTAATTAAAATTTTAAAAGCGTTTATCTCAAAACCGTGTTTTCAGAGTCGGTGAAGAAAATTTCTCCTAAATCGCTGAACCGATCGGTTTGAAATTTTCACATGACTTACTCAGATATATTTTTCAGGTAATGATCAAAGGAATCCGATCATTACCTGTATTTATTTATCACAAAACTAAATATTTTTGGTTTTCAGATAATTTGGACCAGAGATTTCTTGCTCACCGCCAAGCAGTTTTTTTTTTGGACGTCTCTCCGCAGATCATCTACAGGAGCTAGGGGATCCAATGTTTTTTTAAATAAACCGCTGATTGTTAAAGTACATTAAATTCTGTTTAAGTATATTTTTTTTATTAATGTATAAAATAAAATGATTCTTTGGAAAAAATTCACAAAAAAAACGAGATTTTTCTGCCTCGCAAGTGGATATAACCCCTGAAGAGATAGTATCCAAATTCAATAAAATCCTGGCAAATATTTGTTATGGATTCTGGACAACATGGTATGTATTTAATATTAATAATACAAAGATTAATCTAGTTAATGTATAATTTTGTTTTGTAGAAAAAAAATAAATCACCAAAAAAACTAAAAAAAAAGTACTTTTTTAGAAGTTATGGTTTTTGTTATAGTGTTGGGGGAGTTCGAGCTATAAATTATTTTTTTTTTTACTAAATTACACGATTTCTACTTTATTTATTTTTTTTAATTAAATACTGAATCCTGCAAAATTTTTCTATCGTCTTCTTCTTGATTGGCGTAGACACCGCTTACGCGATTTTAGCCGAGTTAACAACAGCGCGCCAGTCGTTTCTTCTTTTGGCTATGTGGCGCCAATTAGATATTCCAAGTGAAGCCAGGTCATTCTCCACTTGGTCCTTCTAACGGAGTGGAGGTCTTCCTCTTCCTCTGCTTCCCCCGGCGGGTACTGCGTCGAATACATTCAGAGCTGGAGTATTTTCGTCCATCCGGACAACATGACCTAGCCAGCGTAGCCGCTGTCTTTTAATTCGCTGAACTATGTCAATATCGTCGTATATC